TGTTTCATCGTTACAAAATTTAATTTCACAATGCAATCCATAAGTTCTAGGCAAGAGTTACATGATCTCTTCTAATCTTAGAACTCCCATTAAATTAAGCCCTTGTTTGGTCCTCGTTATTTCCAAAATATATTTTTCCTTTCTAATTTTCGATCACATTTTTCAATAAAATAATATTACACGCAAACTCAAAATTTTTCCTTATTTTCAACCACACATTATCCATCAAAATACTATTTAAAAATGCATTTTGGGCAAAAAAAAGAAAAGAAAAAAGAGGCTCAAATAGGCTCTAAATATTTAAGCATGTATGTTATCAATAAAACATTTCGATATGTTCTCATTAGATGATACAAGATTTTTGACATCTCACATATTTACTATCCCAAATGTGTCACATCTAGACGCAATGTTTTCGATATGTTTTATATGTTGTACTAGGTTATGTTGTAAATCCATTTCATAATTTCGATAATCACGTAGCTTTTCAATACCTTGCATAGCTCATGTTTTACTAACTTCTCTTTAACGATGCTAGACGTGTGCATAAATTCAACCATACCTGATTAAGCACAAAAATGAAAACATAGCATAATGGATCACATAACTTAATTAAGACATACACCTCTCAAAAATGTAGAATAATATGATATTTTAAATACTTTCGAAGTATTTTTTTAATTTCTAAAAAATGAGGGCATCTCAAAAATTAACTCCCGCTTGACAAATATCATTTTATAAATGTTCTCGATTTTATAAAAAATCAAAATTTAATCAAGTTAAAAACTAGTTTTTTTATGCTTTTTACAAATTTATTTTAACTATTAAATACAAAAAAATAATTATCTAAAAATCAATTTAATTATACAAAAAAATATTTCGGGGATCAACCTGCAATTTTAAAAATTGTAGTAGGGTCTGCATGTGCCCCGACTTGATGCACGAAGTTCTATTTTTTTTTTTTAATTTAAAAAATTGCGAAAACGTCACACACGCTCCCAATCACATCTCCCTGTTGTGCCGCCTACCTGTCTGCGAAAAATTTATTTTCGCCTATTTCACTTATTTTGATGTTCTGAGTTCATTTTTGTAGTCGTAATTGAAAAAATACTAGACACATCATAGCATTTGGTACACCAACATAATGGACAGAGGGAAATAATTACTATACATCTCTTCTCCAAAAATTCTAATTTTCTGTCAAATTCGACCTAAACTTTGAAAGGCTAGCTCTACTTTCTAATTTTAAGTCCAGCTTAAGAGTTCTTTATATGGTTAGAAAGTTTTCAAGAAGATCTTTCTAGCCATATTAATCTTCATGAAAATGAACTAATAGAAAACACTAAGGTAGTGTTCTCTTGAGTGAATTGTTTCAATAATCACTGAACTTATACCTTGTCACGGACTGGTAACTAATCTTCAATCTGTTTCGCAATGCTCACTCAACTTTATCATTTACCTCTTCATCCATCACCATCAAAAAATTTGTTAGTTGGACGCTGACGTGGCAGACGGAATTCCTAGCTGGCGGATTATGGCCGTTAAAATGCTAAATCACGACTTTTCCATTAAAAATAAATAAAATTAAAACCCACGACTTCAGCACTTCTCCCAAATCGACGACTGCAACTTGCTCTCCACCGGCGAACTCCGCCTCTTCCAAGTTCAATTTGTTCACAAACAAATGAAGCAGAGTCAAATTCTTCAATTCAGCAAAACTTTCTGTTATCTCTCCAGTAAGAAGATTAATGGAAAGGTCCAGTGACTCGCTTGAAGGCTCCGGTAAGATATGGCCAGAAAGATTGTTCACCTGAAGAAACAAAGTATGAAATTGCTTGAGATTCCCAGGACTCGTCGAAATTTCACCTTCATAGCGATTACAGTACCCCAAAGAAAGCTCCTGAAGGTTCGGAATTTCGAGTAAATTTTCTGGATTTCCCCGAAAAAATAATTCCCTCCAAGCTTAAGAAATTTCAGTTTCTTAAATTTGACCAACTCGACGGGGAGAATATTTCCACTGAAATTATTGTTGTACATGTCCAAAACTTCAAGCTGCGGTGGGTTTTGGTTTTTTGTGGGGTGGGGTGGGGTGGGTGGTTGAGGAGGAAGAAGAATTTTGGTTTTTTGTGGGGGTGGGTTTTGGTTTTTTGTGGGTGGTGGGGGTGGGGTGGTGAGCGTGGTCGGAGAAGAAGGGGAATTGCCGGAGAAGAAGGGATTGTTTGCATTTCAAATAAATTGGCTTTTGTTTTGTTTTTTCATTTTTAGTTTTAAGGTGAATTGGATTGCTTGGCTGATTTGGCATTCACTTCGACCGTAAGTTAGTTGCCATGTAATAAAACCGTCCGCCAGCTAGAAATTCCGTCTGCCACATCAGCGACCAACTAACAGATTTTTTTATGGTGATGGATGAAGAGGTAAATGATAAAGTTGAGTGAGCATTGCGAAGCAGAATGATGTTTAGTGTGTAGTCCGTGACAGGGTATAAGTTCAGTGATTATTGAAACAATTAACTCTGTTCTCTTTGTATTTTGGTTTTCTATTTTGAGTTTTGAAACCATTTTGAGTTTTGTATTTTGAGTGTCCATTTTGAAATTATTGAAAATGTGTTCTTTTTGTCATTTTGAAAAATTATTTTCAAAAACCCAAAAATGAAAAACGTGTTCTCTTTCAAACTCATTTTCTTACTGTCTCTCTCTCTCCCTCTCCCCACGTCCATCTGTCTTCGTACATCTCTCTTCCTCCCATCCAAAATTGATGGTAACACGAGCAAGGGGGGCACCACTGCCTGGGTCATGAATGATTTCAGTCACCACCCCTTTCAGGTAGCCATTGCGTTTGCCGATCATTTGCTTGGGTCTGGGCGTGTTGTGTGTGGAGGTGAGGGAAGGGGACGGCTGGGACATGGGGGTGAGGGGAAGGTGGCGGTGGCGGTGGATTCGAAAATTGGAGCAGTTTCTGAATTAATTGGTGCAATTGACATGTAACACATGATCCTATGTCGCTGCTGAAGACACTCTTGGGGCCAATTTGATGATTAAATGTTGTGGGGATGTGGAATTGAAGCAGACAGATTCGGAAAAAATGTTGGTCCGTGGGTGGTTGGTTGTGGCGGTGGAGGTGGTTCCGGCGATGGTGGTGGTGGTTAGGGTGATGTTGAGGTGGCGACGGTGACGGCGACTGTTGGTGGTGTTTTGCAGGCAGCAACAGTGGTGGTTGGGGGTGAAAATAATTGAAAACAACTGAAAATGCGTTTTTGGTGTTTTGGAAAATCGAAAACAGAAAATGGCTTGAAAACGACAAAGAGAACAAGGGTTAAATATTTAAAGTTTCTATAAATTTAACTAGGGTTTCAGATATGATATAAATAATATAGGTAAATGCTGTATAAATTTTGTAAATGTATGTTTCATATTTACTAACATGCCATTAACGATGCTTCGAGCTTCTTCGTGAAAATGCATACAAGCATTTCATCATTTTAATCCATTTATAGTAGGATAATATACAAGGAAACAACCTAAGAACCAATTTAAAAACATATATGTCATGCCCCCAGGGCATATCTCCCAGTGGTAAAGGGGAGGGCGATTAGGGCTCAGCGCGGTAGTGTGCAAAGTTCGATTCCCCGCAAGGTGGAATTGGCTTTGTTGCAAGCGGGAGTTACCATAGGGTTAAAAGTCCAAGGCCTATCCATAAGCTCTCCACCCTGGCTCCTGGAAGACACATCCTGCGATNCATAAGCTCTCCACCCTGGCTCTTGGGAGGCACATCCTGCGATTTACCTCCTCCACAATGTCCCAGGGCAGGGTCGGTGGGGGGCCCTCAAGGTTGGGGTTCAACCTTTTAAAAACATATCTGTCATGTTTCTACTTGTCAAGATTTTAGAAACTTATTTGAAGTTGATGAATTTTCAAGATCCAATTGATTGAATCACTTGCCTCGATCTTGCCTGTACTTTTTGGTCCAAAACTACATCAAATTGAAGAAGTTCCTTAACCACAATCCAAATGCATTTTTCAAGATGATTGAAAGGCCAAAATATATGATTTATTGCCTTTTCATTTTTTCATCATTTTCGCATATGAATTTTCAATTTTTTTTTTTTAATAAGAGAGAGTTATCAAATGTAACTTTTTTTGATCGGTAGTTATCAAATGTAACTTACGTTGATTAAAGATGGTGGAAAGTTATTCACAATTCAAAAAAAAAAAAAAAAAAAAAACTAATCCTTCCAACCCATTTTATTCTACTTGGGTCAGTTCAACTCATTCGGACGACCCGCCCATTTCCAACACCAACATAATAAGAGAATCATGACTACAAATGATATTCAATTCTCATCGTCAAGATGATCCGTGATTATCTTATTAAGTTGGATGAATTAAACATTAGAGGTATTCAACCCGTATATTATTTGAATTTTTAGCATTAGTTAATTTTAACCAATATAAACAACAAATATTTGAATTTAATATTTTGATATCTTATATACCTGTTTATTATTTAAAAATGATTATTTGATTATAGTATTTGGAATTATTAATATTTGTACTTTACATTAATCCAATTTTTTGAATATCTTAAAATGCTTTGACAGGAGGTATTCCATATGAAATTGGTAACTTATCCAGGCTTCAATCTGTACTTTTGGATGGCAATTTTCTGACAGGTAACTAATTATCTACCTAAAATCAAGGTGTAACTCAATTGGTAAGACCGTCGAATACTAGAGTTCGAATCTCCTCCGGAAGGAACTATCTAATGATCTATTAGTAGTTTATTTATTTTAGTATCTTAACAAACACCACATCACAGGTACTATTCCATACTCAATTGGAGGTCTATCAAATTTGGAGATATTAAGTATTGGTAATAACAGTTTACATGGTCAAATTCCACCAGAATTGGGACAACTTTCAAGTTTAAGAGGATTGAGTTTGTACCTTAACAAACTTGAGGCTGAAATACCTGAATCTATCTTCAACCTCTCCAAGTTAACAATGCTTGAGCTATCAGCTAACAGAATCTCTGGCAATCTTCCATCATCATTAGGCAATGTGCTCCCCGATCTGTTTCTAGTCTATCTTAATAACAATCATTTGACAGGAGAAATTCCCATGTCTATTTCGAATATATCTCAAATTGAAATACTGAATCTTGATTTCAATTTTTTTACTGGACGGGTACCCAAGACTGTAGGGAATCCACAAAAACTCGACACACTAGATATATCATATAATCAGCTAACAAACGATCCTTCAACGCTAGAATTGGATTTCCTTATTTCATTAAAAAATTGTAGTAAGTTGCAGAACCTAAATATCAGAAATAATCATTTTGACGGAAGGCTTCCGAAATCCTTGGCCTTGGGAAACTGGTCAGAATCTCTTTGGCACTTGGATGCTGGCTCTTGTGGAATCAAAGGCCCGATCCCTAATGAAATTGGTAACCTCAGCAATTTGATACAGTTAGAAATGGGAGGCAATGAATTGAACGGAAGAATTCCTGACGCACTGGGCAAATTGAAGAAGTTGCAAAAGCTGAAAATTAATAGCTGTAATCTAACCAGGTCAATCCCTGTCACCCTTTGTGAGTTGGGACGTCTTTTTGAACTGAATTTGGAGAACAATCAGCTCTCTCGTCCACTACCAGGTTGCTTGGGAAACATTAGCTCATTACGAAAAATATATTTAGGTCACAACGAATTGACTTCAGTTGAACTATCAGTATTATGGACAAACAAGGATCTTCAAATTGTTGACTTGTCTTATAATAATCTTAATGGTTCTCTGGGTTCAGAAATCGGCAGCGTAAAGGGGATACAATTGCTAAATTTATCAGGAAATCAATTCTCAAGTGATATTCCAAACACTATTGGACAACTTGAGAATTTGGAAAACCTAATTTTTTCGAGCAATAAGTTACATGGATCTATACCGGAGTCGTTCTCAGAATTGATTGCACTGCAATATTTGGATCTATCTCACAATAATCTCTTTGGTGTAATCCCCAAGTCATTTGGTACACTTAAGAACCTTGTGTACTTAAACGTTTCGTTTAATGAACTTAGTGGTGAAATTCCAAATGAAGGGATTTTTAAGAACTTAACAGCAAGTTCTTTCACAGGCAATAGAGACTTATGGGGAGCATCTCAATTTGAGGTAATGCAGTGCAAAGCTAATACAGCTAGATCATCGACCAAGACTAGAGTTTTGAAATATGTTTTACCATCAGTTGCATTGGTAATAATCCTTGCCATTATTATGATTTGGTTGATGACACGGTGCAATAGAAAAACAGGTCTTACATCTCAGTCTAGTTCACTCATCACCGTTAAGAGGATTTCATATTATGATATTCTTAAATCTACCAACAACTTTGATGATG